ATAACGATACAAATATATATATATATATATATATATATATATATATATAAGAATATCATAAATCGTATACTTCATTTAGACACGTTTTAATATTATATCTAAAAGTCTAACTTCAAAGGTGTTTCTAAGTATTTTTCTTGGTGGCGTTTCTATGGTTATCAGTCAACATTTTTGTTTTGTTTTTAATTCACAGCACGGTTTTGCTTCTCTAAAAAAAGTAAATAGTGGTCATATTTTATGCGATTTTCAATAGAGTCGTTCGTTTTTTTCTCAGAATGTAATTTAGCACTAACAAGTAAATGTTATGTTATAGAAAAGTTTATTTGAATTCAAGACTTGTTATTACAATCTAACATTAAACAAAATAAGAGTGGAAAATATTCCTTTGGTATTATTACATTTGTTTAATGCACTTTTCTATAAATTCATACCACAAACGTGCCAATTAAATAAAGAAAATAGTCAAAGTAAACATAAAAGCACTCGCATACAATTGTTAGGTATGTGACAATAAATGTTGTTGAAAAAGTAAAACAAGACAGAAATTATTCTAAATTACAAACAAAATAAAAATAACTATCTTAGATCAGTTTCAGCTTACAAATACACAAGACTTTTATTCGACAATCTAACCAACCATTACATATATATATATATATATATATCAAATTTGTACATACAAAATTTAGAACTAATTCAATGGGTCAGTATTAAAAACACATTGAAAGAAAGAAAGAAATACTGGTTAAAGTTCACGTTTAAAGATAAAATTATTAAAAACGGTTTTGTAACTTAGCGTTGAAAATAAATAAACATATGACCACAAACTGCAGGGAACACAAAGGAGTTATTAATACCCAAAGTTTGGACTTGTAATGCAAACACAAAAATATGTTTCTAAAATTTATTTTAAATGTCACTAGTTTTGAATAAATTAGGTTTATCTGTTTTGTTATTTTATTTTGTCTGTTGTTAAGCACAAAGCTATACTATGGGTTTTGTCTGCTGTGTCCACCACGGCTATCGAAAACCGATTTTTCAGACTCACCACCCACCTACTGGGGGAGAAATAAATTTATAAAAAGGGGGTGAATTTCTGTCCTCCACTAAACATTTAATTTTTTCTTTCTCATACATTTTGCAGACAGTTTGTTAAAGCTTGCAATGTAACGGATAATACGATTGATTTTTTTTTTCGAATACGCTTCTAGTCCGAATAAAACACACACAAAAAAGTACAAAACGTTTACAGACATCTAAAGTACATCTTCACAAAATAATCCATCAAGCTATTTTTGCTCTGTCAGTGATAGCAAAACAAAGTACTTTTTCACAGCACAGTGTTAATGGCTTCAATGAGTGAAAGTGAAGCTAAACATGTTACGTTTCAACATACTAAAGTTCTACATACCTTCGTTTTCATCTTTTAACCGTCTTGCGTTATGAGCGAAAAATACAGCGCAAGCTTCGCATTAAGGGAAAACAACCCGTTGCCAATAGTTCGGGGTGGGGATAATTTTTAAAGAATAAAAAAATGGAAAAAATCATAGAGCATGCATACATTGAACGACAAACAGAGTACTGACCAGCTAGTTTTAGTTTTTAGATATATATTCGGCCCCTGGTTGGATACTTACCCGCACTAGTTTTAATGTCATACCAGTATTGCTACCGTGGTTAACATAAATGTTTATTGTGAACAATACAATATCTGCAGTAAACAAACAAACAAATAGTACGAATATTCTGCAGTAAACACACAAATACTATGAATATTTTGCAGCAAACACACAAATACTATGAATATTCTGCAGTAAACACACAAACAAATACAACGAATATTCTGCAACATCTATACCTACTGCACGTGTAGAAATCTTTGATCTCTGCATTTGGTTTATGCAGGCCTGAGTACGAAACGACACTAAACAACAGTACCTGAATTTGAATGCTTACTGTAAACATTGTGAAAGTAGCCGAAACGACGGTAAATAAAAGCAGTTAATATGAACGTTTACTGTAAATACAATGAAAGTAGCCGAAACGACAGTAAATAACAGCAGTTAATTGTGAATATTTAATATAACATTGTGAAAATTGCCGAAACGACGCTATATATCAGTAGTTGAATGTGAATGTTTGTAATAAACATTATGAAAGTAGCCGAAACGACGGTAAATAACAGCAGGTTAATGTGAATGTTTACTATAAACATTATGAAAGTAGCCGAAACGACGGCAAATAACAGCAGTTTCATGTGAATGTTTACTGTAAACATTATGAAAGTAGCCGAAACGATGGTAAATAACAGCAGTTTAATGTGAATGTTTACTGTAAACATTATGAAAGTAGCCGAAACGACGGCAAATAACAGCAGTTTAATGTGAA